GCAGTGGCTGCACAGAATGACTTCAGCAGTCAGTCATTCTGAATAACTGAAATTAGTTTTAAACGCTCAAACTTTTTTTGCAATAATGAATCCAGATCAAACAATTATGCATTGTCCAGAAAATTATTCCTTTTATAATTTCTTCCAAGAACTTAGTCATCATGTTGCCAAACAAACACTCCCAGCTCAGCTTCCCTGAATTTCCTGTCCAGTACAAGATCATAAGGGACAACTCAGCCTGTAGCAGCTGTCCATCTTCTAGCTTGGAGGAGGTAGGAGCAGGCTTGCCCTGCTGTGCATGTGTGGATGTAGAGACGCATACAGCTTATTAGCAGACACAAGGGTGGTTACATAGGACCCTGCAAGGGAAAGGTGTCACCCTGAAACAGTATATCAGCGCCAGTCTCAGGGGCCCAGTTGATTCTACAGGAAAATCAAAATGAAAATGTTTAAACATTAAGGAGCAGCAACGATTGTAAGTGATTTAATCAGCATTTGAAAGGGCTTAAAAACATTTTGACTTTAATATCACTTGAAGGTCAAGGTCATCTGCACCTTTGCCGCGGCCTACACATAGTTAATGTCTATATCTCCCCCTGGCCCTGAATTCACTAGGTAGTGGCGGCATCGCATATGGCTATATACATGTATAATCCATGTACAATTTACAAATGTAAATGTTTGAACAAAGTCTACCAGTGTACCACGTAATTTACAGTCGAAATTGGACCGTGGATGCAGATTTTTCTTGTTCTAGTTTATGAAACTTAAAGGGGTTCTAAACCCTCCCATTTTTTTGCCTAATATCTACTGCTATCAAGCAGTAGATATAGGCAAACCGTTTAAAAAGAAAAAAATAACCCTGCTTTAACAGCGGTTTAACTTACCTTGTTTCCGCTGCTCGCTCCCGCCCAAGAAAACGAAACTATTCGGGCGGCCGCAAAGTATCTTGAGGCGGGCGCATGCACAGTTCGGATTCTCGGCCGGGAGACGAGCAGAGACGCAAGGTAAGTCTATGGACGCGTGCACCCGCATGCAGACACCGCTGGATCGGAAGTGCCATCAAGCAGAGAGGAGTCCGCGCTGGATCGGAGAGCCGCCGCACCGCTAGAGGGACAGATGAAAACATCAAGAAAGAAGAAGATCTGATTAAGAGACATAATTTAAGGTAAGTGCTGACATTAACATTGGGGGGAGTGAAAAAAAATGTATCCTTTAATGTCACTTTAATGATATGGACCAAAGCACAGTTGTGTAAATGGGCCCATAGCATATAATAGTTCTGCTTTCAGATCCATATAAAACAGTACAATGTGAAGACAGCCTATTTTACCAGTCAATGAGCGCCAGAACCAGTACCGACTATGGGCCACCTTTCAGATCGATAACTGATGTCAGGTGCTGATATTCTGTTTATACTAGCTGCAGAATCATACGCTGGCAGATGAACAGGTAGCCTGGTGACTGGGCTATGTGTTCATCTTCTGGTGGACAAGATTCTGCAGCCAGCAGCTGAATATAAACAGCAAGCAGTGAGGGGGGGGGAGGCCTGAGAGAGAACTCTCAGCGATGGGCCATGGTGGGGGGTCTTCCAAAGCTCCCCATTACTGTCTGCACTTATCAATTAATATACCAATGATTTAATAATTTGTGAATATTGGTCCCGATTATCGGTGGATTAGATTGTCGACCCCTACTCTATATAGTGACAGCCATTGATTTATTTTCATTGTGCTTCTATAAACTATATCACCAGAAAAATCAGTCGAATTGGTGGGGTCCTGAACTGATGTGTGTGAATGTCACGATCTTTTAATGTCGAAACGAAAATAAAGCGATGTTCCTAAAAGAAATTCCTGAACTTTTAAATGAGTGAACACTTCTGTGAATGTTAGAAGTACACTGCTGGGATTCATTAGTACTGCAGGTTGGCAAATACAGAGCACTGTGTGGTAATGTAATGGTAGCCTCCAACAGTGGGAAGCATTAATAGGATTTCTCTCTCTCTGATTTACAGGTTCATGATGTGTCCTATTCTATTTGAAGTGCTTTCTTTCTCATTTAGGTGACCATGACACTACCTTTGTGGAGTTTTCCCAGTAATGTTGCTGGTGATATCATTTCTACCAGGGAATGTAGTTCAGTAAACATGGTATTGAAAGGAGGTGCTACAGTTCCTAAATTTGTTAGGCATTTCCACTGGCTCGTTTATCTCTACTAAGTGCCTGACTTTATCACCTGAATATCTTGTTCATCTTCATGGTTGCAGCAGGATGTTGAATCGTACACTTAGGCACCATTCCGTTGTATTTATCTTTTATCCCTCTAATGCACTTTTCTTAAAGAGTTCAAATATACCTGCCAATCATCTTCCACTAGTCTTTAGACTTAGTGCATCCATCATAAAGGAAAGAGGCACTCCTGGTGGCAGCTGAAAACTTTCCTACAATTTTATTGAGGCTGTACTTTTAGAAAAGTGAAACCTTTTATGATCAAAATGCCCCCGCACACACTGTTAAGCAGATTTAAGGGTAGTTTCCTGAATAATTAATATGAAGTCAATTACAATGTGTATTATCTTCAGTCACCAGATCTAAACATGACTAAAATTCTGACACGCAGAACTATATTTTTATCACCGAGCTACAGGAATTTCTTTTTTGAACTAGGAATTTCTGAACTAGCCGACATGTTGCTTGTTGAAGTATTCATATCTGCTAGGGGAGCTGCTTGGTTAGTGTTGTCTACTAACACAGCAAGTTTAAAGAGAGACTGTAACTAGCAAGATCAGCAGGTTGAAAGAAGAAAAAGTAAGGGGAAGTGACACCAGAGGCTGCAGCAGTGAATACTGGTGTCACCCACCAGACTGTATTTTGTTGTGCAAATGTGAGTGTATCACTAGCTGAACAGGGTTACAGTATTTCTGGCAGATAAAATAGTTACGTTGGATGCACCGGTGTTGATATAACATTTTTGGGCAAATACTCATACTCGCCCAAATGCTCTGATACTTATCCCAATACCACCGGAACTTCTGGTCAGAGGGAGATTTCCTCTGAGCGGCAGTACCGCTAGGGAACATAGAGCCAGTGAATCAGGAAGCCGGGCCGTGAGTAACGACTCGTGTTCCAGCCTTTCGCATTGGCCGTGAAACCGGCTCCATGCTTTAACTCCAAATTTAAAGATCTTGCCACACAAATGGCAAATCTGCTGTTCAGTCCACTGATATATCATTAAAAATTTCCGATATAATTTTTGTTTAAGCTGCATGCAATCCTTGTGTTTATTTCTCTCCTCTGTACTGACAGAAATCCTAAATCTGGTTCTCAGTTAGACTTTTTGATCAAGTTGTTTAAAATAAATAAATTATGCAACCAGATTGAGAAGGTTGTATTCCATATTGTTGCTTGTGACTTTATTATACTATATATCTCTTACATTACTTTTATACATCTACCTGGTTTAATTAAACATGCTTGAATCTTTTAAGCTAATTTGTGTACGTACATTTATTGACCTGCTTTATTTGAAAGAGTATGGTGATGATTTTTTTTTTTTTTTTATTTTCACTCATTTGACCTAGATAATTTCAGTTTCATCTGTAAATATAGTCTTCAACTTTGCAGTCCAGAGCTATTTGTTTGTTAATATTCAAATTACAACTTTAATGGATACACCCAACATAAGCAAAAGAAAAAAAACCTCTACTATATTTTAAAAATAATTAAATGTGATCTTTCCCTAACTAGGAATCGCTAGAGAGAATACAGATGATTATATATAATGTATTATGGTAATAAAGACGAGTTTGAATATTCCCTTTGAAAATATTTAGAAACAGCAGAGAAATATGTAGGCACTGATTTCTGACCTTATTTTCAAAAAGCTTGTTGCCGGTTATGTCCATCCAATGAATTCAGTTCTTTGAGTCACTGATCCAGATCTGTTGTGCCAATGAAATCAGAACACCTGATCTTGTCCAAAAAAAAGGACTGAGGTCAAAGGATCATCATTAGCCAGGTAGCATAAAAATGATCTTAAAGTGCAAGCAAACTGTGGTGTATGCAAGTAAGTCTTTAAATCAATTTCTGTGGATCTTCAGAATCGCCGGTACTACCTGTAAACAGGACCAAGTTGGTTCTAAGTCCCTGTCTTATTTCAGGTTTCAAAGAAAACTATGGCCTAACCTTTTTTGGCCATAGTTCTCTTCAGGGTCACAGGAGGACATATACTAATGTCTTCCTGTGACCCAAAACTCGGTATATAGTGGGCTATTGCACGCTACATGCTGAGAGCGCTGAGCCATGCTGCAGCCAGGGTGGATGCCGACCAATACTGTTGAGATCCACCCCGCCAGCTTGTTGACAGCTATCTCTGCCTCTCTAGAGGCAGAGCCAGCAGTGCTCACCCCCTCCCTCATCTGTTCCTCCAGTCAGTGCTGGAGAAATGGAGGGGAGAATCCCTGTAGGGAGCAGTGACTGACGGTCCCTGCTCTTTGCAGGGAGAGGACCGGGAAGTCGGCGGTATGTATTCATTGACTTCCCGATCAATAGAGCCGACCCGTGACAGCTACAGTTTCACAGGTCGGTTTGAATTATGGGGATGAGTATTTTTCACTCAACCAATAATTCTCTTTGTAATCATAGTAGTTAGCTGAATTCTCCTGTGGCCAGTTCTATGAGCTAGCAATTGGCTGAGGTGTCTGCATGTACCCATAGAAGTTACATTTATTTCTGATTCTTTGTCTATAGGTACCTTACTTGATTTAGAACTACTGCTACATATTAAGAAGAAAAAAATCTCAGATTGTGTATAGCTTATTTTGCCGTAATTGGTTTTGTTAACCTAACCAGAAATCCATTTACCTTTTTATTGTTAGGTGCTCCATGTGTTCAAAACTATTCAGAATGTCTGTGCCATCTAGTGTTTTTTTTTGTTTTTTTTTAAAGTTTTGGTTAATTTTATTTATTTTGTCTCCCATTTTTTTTTTTCTTTTGCAGCTCAATAAGCCACAATTACAGACAATAAGGGAGAGATTTCAGGCTTTCCTTAAAGGTGACACGCAAATAGCAGCAGATGAAGCTTTTATTAATGCTGTCAGAAGTTATTATGAGGTAAGTGTTCTCATCTTTGGTGCATTGCCACTTGTTAAATTAGAATTTTAAAAAGATCATACAAAGTTTCATGTACTCATTGTACAGTACACATTGTACTGCTTTTTTTTTTTTTTACTGAGCCTGTTAGAGAACTAAGTGGAAGCTTACGAAACCATGCACACATTTAGAATTGAGCTGGGGTTTCATAAAAAGAGGAGGTGCTTTAACGGCCATAGTCTGAGTACAGGTGCACAAATTGAGCCCATAGTGCAACTTTGTAGAAACAGTTCTTTATGCTCTTTCCTTGCGTAATATGCTATTGAGAAAATATATTATCTTGTTTCTAGATACCATAACTACATGCGGTCTGAGGAAATGTGGGTTGAGACTAATGGATTCAAAATCTATATGATCTAACAATTATATAAAACCATTAAAGTTGTTCTTGGGCACCATTTAAGTATTTTTTTAAAACTCTACACTCTGAGTGAAGTCAAATTAGCCTTAAACTGAATTGGCTTACCAAGAAGAATGGAAAAGGAATGCATATACGGTAGACGTGTGGAAATCTTTTGGAATCCTTACAATTGATTGAAACAATGCTTCATTCCTCCTGCAAAGTAACGAAATTATAAGCTATTGTCTCCAGTATACGTGCATGTCTTTTTTATGTCACAGAAAAAAGCAAAGAAAGAGTGAAAAGATAAAAATGATTGCTTTTTGTATAAAGATATTCTAAAATGAACAGACTTGTTGACATGCCTAGAGAACATTCCAAACAATTGGATCATAAGGATATATATTTTTTTAAACTGTTTTCTGTTATTAGTATCACACATGTCTTCAATGTTGTAACCAACCAGTCAGCCTGTTTATATGAAGAAAAGTAGTCCCTCTGTTGTGTAGTATCATGGTGTACACCGGACTGAACCAAGACCAGAGAAAGCAATGGAGAGAGTTGACTGAGGAGATCAAAAATAAGTTTGACTGAGAAGACGAAACAGCTTGATGTTTCCGTGACTACAGTTGCAAATATTTATAAGTTTAATGTCCATGGGAGTGTAGCCAGCCTCCCTGGATGTGGGAGCAAGATGGAAATCTACCCCAGATTGAGTAGATGGATAGTTCAAATGCCAGATAAAGAGCCAGGATGAAACCTCCAAATAGATACAAGCTGAACTCTAAGGTCAAGGTACATGATTGTCCAGTTGACCATCTGTTGCTTTTTGAGCAACAGTGAACTCAAAGAAAGAAAACCCAGGAGAATGCTACAGTTAAACGAAAAACTTTAAATATCCAGACTGGAATTTGCTGAAAATGCATGTTGACAAGCCACAATGCTTCTGGGAGAATGTCCTCTTGACAGATGAGAAACACTTGCAGCTTTTTTTGCACAACACATGTCTATTTTCACAGATAACAGAAAAAGAACACCTTAACTACTGAGAAACCTGGAGTAGGGTTAGTTTTGTTTCAGAGCTGCTTTCCTGCATTGGGCACAGGGTACCCCAGATTTATGCAGGGCACAATTAAATTTCAGAATATCAAGTATTCTGGTGCGAAACATAATGCCCAGTGTCCGAAATCTCTGTTAGTCACTGGTCATGGGTCCTCCAACTAAATAATGACCCAAAATACATCCCAAGAATGGCTAAGATTAAAACATTAGACTATTCTGAAGAGGCCTTTTATAAACCATGATCTAAAACATCTATGCAAAGAGCTGAAACATGCAGTCCATGGAAGGCACCCTTCAAACCTGAGCTGGAACAGTTTGCTTAAAGTGACATTAAACCCTCAGATTTTTTAACATAAACCAATACTGTAATGTGTGCCTTACTGTAATCCATGGCTGTTTCCCTTCACTTGCTCTTCCTTTTAAATCTGTATCTCTTCTCATGCTGGGGGAGAACTTCCCTTTGCAGCTGAGTGCCTCTTCCTGTAGTGCTGGCTCAGGTTGTGAACCTGCACACAGACACCATGTATCCATGTCCGAGACAAGGCAGTCTGCTGCAAAACAGAAGTTCTGCCCAGCATGAGAAGAGATACAGATTTAAAAGGAAGAGCAAGTGAAGGGAAACAGCCATGGATTACAGTAAGGCACACATTACAGTATTGTTTTATGTTAAATCTGAGGGTTTTATGTCACTTTAAGAAGAATAGGCCAAACTACCTGTTGGCAGGTAGAAAAGTCTAATTGAGAGCTACAAAAATTGCTTGTTTGCAGTGATTGTCTTTTAAAGTTTGGGCAACAAAGTACGTAAAAGGTCACATAATTTTTGTTCATGCCATTTTAATTAATTTTATTATTAAATTATTTTAATCAAAAGCAAAGTTTGATTAAATATTTGATTAAATATGGAATAAACATTGATGGATGCCAATGCAGGACCGAATGGTAATTGTAATTATCAAATATATCATGTCAGCCTAATTAAACCTTGGAAGGAAAGAAAGGCTTTGATGGTTAGGAAGGAAGGACACGCAGATTCTGACGCCCAGATTAAAAAGGTAGGAATAGCAGATACCCTTTCACCTGCCCAAAAACAGGAATCTTGGGAGTTCTTGCAGAGAAAGAGAGAGAGAAATTTTATCAAACTTGCCAGGTTTGACCAATGTAATTAAACATGAGGTTCTTACAGATCTTGGTGTTCGGGTGAACATTAGGCCATACCGTATTCCTGAAGCCCATTGAGAGATGGTATCGGCTGAAATAAAAAGTATGTTCGACCTTGTGATTATAGGTGAATCAACCAGTAGTTGGTCAAGCCCTATAGTCTTGGTACCTAGCCCCAATGGAACCTGGAGGTTTTGTAATAACTTCCAAAAATTAAATAAAGTCTCCAAACCAGATGCATACCCCATGCCCCTGGTAGATTAGTTAATTGGGAAGTTGGGTCCCGCCCGATACATTACCACCTTAGACTTAACCAAAGATTACTGGCAGATTCCACTTTCAGATGAGACCAAAGAGAAAACGGCTTTTGCCACCCCTGAGGGGTTTTGGCAGTATGTCCGAATGGCATTTTGGTTACATGGGGCCCCAGACACTTTTTAAAGGGCCATGAACTAAGTCCTAAGACCCCGTAAGGAGTCATCGAGTGCTTACCTGTATGTCATTGTCATTTTTAGCTGAGAGTGGGAGAGTCATTTACAAAAGATTCAGTTAGTCCTGGATGCCCTATGAAAGGCAGGATTCACGGTGAACCCTGAGAAAAGCAGGATTGGGTTAGAGAAGGCCAGCTACTTGGGTTATGTGGTAGGCCGAGGCCTGATTAAACCTCCGTTAAACAAGGTGGAGGCCATTCGAAAGTGGTCCTGTCCTCTCACAAAAAAGGTACGTTCTTTCCTTGGAATTGTGGGTTGTTACAGGAGATTATTTGCCAATTTTGCAAGCTTGGCCTCACTTCTGACACTTTACAAAAAGGAAATAGTCCACAGTTATCCATTGGACTGGCGAGGCAGAAACCGCATTCTACCAGTGGAAGCAGGCTTTGTGCCAAAAACCTGTTTTCATAGCCCCGGACTTTCAGAAGGAGTTCTTGGTCCAAACTGATGCTTCAAAACTGGGACTAGTGGCAGTCTTGTCTCAGGTGGTTGGAGGTGAAGAGCACCCTGTTGTATACTTGAGCCGGAAGTTCACACTGGCCAAGAAAAAAAGATTCCATTGTGGAAAGGGAATGTCTCGCTATAAAATGGGCTCTTGAGACACTCCAGTACTATTTGTTGGGACGACCTTTCAAGCTGGTGTCGGACCATGTCCCCCTCACCTGGATGGCACAGAATAAGGATAGAAATTCCGGGAACACCAGGTGGTTTCTTGAACTGGACAGAAAGGTGAAAGCAAAGCAACCTATAAGTGCAACACACTTGTGGGAACTTCTGAAACAGTGTTGGGAAGAACTTTTCGAATAATATTTGATTACCGTTGTATAGAGTGCAACGAGTGTGTTTAGCTGTTGCAAATCTGCAAAAGGTGGCTAATTTGATGAGTCAAAAATTTAGTTCACATTTTGTTAAAGAAAATGTTCCTTTTGGATGTCCAATTGTTTGTTTTTGTTCTATGCTTTATGTTCAGAGTACTTTGAGACATTAAACTGCGTAAATTTCAAAGCAAACTGGAAAAATTGAGTTGTTGTAAAACATTGACCAGTAGTGTACCTGTAATGAAAAAAATATTGTATATAAAAATATTTTATGGCAGACTTGCCTAGTCTTCTATAAAAAAAAAAAAAAGTAAATTTGACCTCACCCTACTTTTTGTATCTAAACCATTTGCAAGAAATACCTGTCTCTCTTAGGCTCCAGTATGACAAGTATAATAGGTACTTTGTCCTATTATGTCAAGTACTACTACTACAAGTACTACTACTGTTTTGAGGGTGGTTTTGATACCATTATTAACTGTAGGTCTCATCTAAAGCATTACAGAGAATCAAAAGCTATTTTTTCGGTTTCATAATCGCTTATCTATCAGTAAGTACACTGCTGTTTTTTTGTGTTGGTATCAGAATTCTTCCCTTGTAGTTAAAGTATTTGGGCCAGTCAAGGACATCCAAATGAATTATATAATATTTGCTTGTTTTTCCTACAATTTCGAAGCAGTTTCTGCTATTTCTTTAATTTGGAAATTTGCTGTACTGTACAATACATAGTTAATTTATGCTCCTGAGCTTACATTGTTGTCTTCAATCCTAATGTTCATGTAGGAGTTGGCATTTTAAAACATCTTTGTAGAGTGTAGTGTAGTGAGTGTAATGAAACCTTTTTTAAAATGTCTTTATCTGCAAACGTTCCACATGTATTTTGTCTTTCTTTTTTTCATACAACAGTACTGTAAATTACCACCAGGGCTTTTTAGGACTGCAGAGCAATCTAAACACATTCATTTCTAAATCTTTAAAAAAAATATGTAGACAAACACTGTGTCAAATTCTATGGTAGAAATAAGCTCCATGCTGTTTACATTTTTCCTAATTCTAAAAATCCCCCCCCCTCCCTTTTTCCTATAGCAGTAGGCAAAAGCTAAGTAAGAAATCACATCTTCACATGGAAAAAAACAACTTTTCTATATGTGTATATTTTTCTAATATGTGTTATATAATTTTGCAATATGGTGAGATCTAATTCTTAATGTGCACTTGTTTAGCAGTATAATCTTTCTAAACCAGCCCCAAAAAGGTGCATGCTTACACCTTTAACATCTTCTCTGGTGCCTCAGAATCCGTGAATCCTAAGAGGCTCTAATACACACTATTAAACACTTAAAGCAGTGCTATGTGCTCGTCTGTCTCCTCCCATCTTTGGCACCTCCACTGGTTTGTGGTTTTACCCTATTTAATAGAAAATCAAACCCTGAAAACGAGGGATACCACTTTTTCAAGACCAAGTATAAGTACTTTCCCCTCAGGTACTTGCCGATACCAATTACCAATACCTTTTTCTTAAAGGGACATGTGACATTTTTTCTAAATAATACAGACTAATCATTTTAGGGGTGTTTCTCACCAGGGCTGCATACAGATGTCACCAGGGCTGAATAGAGATCTCACCAGAGCTAAATACAGAGCCTGGTGACATATGTGGTCCAGATTCCACCAGGGCTGCGTCCAGATGTCACCAGGGCTGCCTATTGGGTCTCTCCAGCGCTGCTTATTGCATCTCTACATAGTCTCTGACAGGTGCTGTGCTGCACACCCAGCGTTCCTAACCCCCTCCAAACCCTCCTAGAGCGCTTCTTCCTGGACTTTTTTCATGAACTGTCACAGGTGCTGTGCTTAGCCCTCTCTGCAGGTGCGTAGGGAGCCGAACTGAGCAGGTTCCGGTCACGTGCCCGCTCCGAGGCTGTGTTCGAGGTGTGCGGTTGCCTCAAGCAGTGCCTGCACCTTCAATCAATATGAAGAGACGTGGGACCTGGCAGGCAGCGTCAAAGACAGCTATTGCCAGCTCCCCGGAAGGCCGCTTCAGGACCCCACAAGCACAGGACCTGAGGCGGCCTATCCGATTAAAAAATTTAAAGGGCCAGTATCGGCCATCAGCCTAGTTTCGGTATCGGGACATTCCTACTGAAAACTAATTTTCTCAACAAAAAAAAATGTGTCTCACATTTTAGTTTACTGATCTGTATTGACATTGTAGTCCATCACAGGAGTGAGCTTGGAGCAGTGGCTACTTTACAACCCACACAGGGATCATGGGGAACAAAAGTAGTCACCCTCCAGAAGGAAGGACAGTGTCAAAACCAATCCAAAGATAATTTGAGGATTAATTACAGCATATAATCTATGCTTTTGTTAAACATTAAGGTATTTGAATGTATTTTTAAGATTAACTCCTGAGTTTAGTGTAACTTTAAGAAAAGGGTATCTTTTTAACTTAAAGGAAACTGCATCTTTGTTTAAAAAAAAATCAATATTGTAATGAGCCTAGCATGCTTACTAAATCAAATACTGTATATAAATGCTATTTCCTCAAACTAAAAGTTTACTGTGGTCTGTAGCTAAAATCAAACAAAACGGTGGTGCTTATATCATCACTAACTGACCATCCAGGCTCCTGAGTGCAAACACATAAGTCCCAGCATTCAGTGCACCTGAGGAAACTCAGCCAACCAGTTGGCTAACAGGTGAGGTGAACAGAAGAAGAGCCGATTTATTGATCTTCAACATTAGACTTTTAATGATGGGATCACTTGACCTCTGACGAGCATATGCAAAGCTGCTTAACCTCTAATGTTCTAGAATATATAGCCGACCGTTTTTTAAGTAAAAATCTATTCCTTTTTCTGTATAAAATTATTGGTCAGTGTGTCAACATTTGGAACTTATAATAACCCAGCGCTACTCTGGTTGCAGAGAAAGGAAGAAGATTTAGGTTTCTAATGGCCATATTCTACTGGCAACTGCAACCTGTAAGTTCTTCCATTCTGTACCGGTATGTCAACTCTCAGCACTCCGGTGTAATGGGAGGGTTCCACTACCCCTGCATACTCCATGCTGTGTTGACAATGGAGTAAAAAGAATCGCCCCTATTTTATTGTGTTGCCGCCTTTATAGGTAAAGATAACTAAAGTTAAATGTTTTACTTAGCCTTCCACATTTTGCCAGATTAGCATATAGATCTGTTTGTTCATATTGATCAACCATATGTTTCTTTTTGTTATGCTGTTTGCTTAGTTGCAGATGTCTGTTATAGTCTGAGGGTGACCATGGACATCCTAATTACAGCCCTGCTAAAATTTAGAGAGTTGGTTGACTATTGTTTGGAGGGAATCAGTCAGGACAGAAATTATAGAAGCAGTCATTACGGACTTGTTTTTAAAGGTGCATGTTTTAGAGGCATAACCCACAGCAAGCAAGTGTTGGGACTTGTATACATTCCATCAAATAGTGTTGCAAAGACACTTGTGACAGCCAAGCCGCAGAACTTGTACCTTTTAAAAAAACAAGTTGGAGATTGTGGCTTACATAGTTGTGCCCAGACAGGTTCCCTATAATGTCTGTGATCAGGTGGATCTGTCTGTTTGTTTTTCTCACAAACAATGTTAAAGAGCAGTTATAGAACTGTTGTTCTTTTTTTCTTTTAAATGTAACAGGTTTTCTTGAAAAGTGACAGAGTTGCCAGAATGGTACATAGCGGAGGATGTTCCTCAAATGACTTCAGAGAAGTTTTTAAAAAGAACATTGAAAAAAGGGTACGAAGTTTGCCAGAAATTGATGGATTAAGCAAAGAAACTGTTTTGAGCTCTTGGATTGCTAAATACGACGCCATTTACAGAGGGGAAGAGGATCTTCGCAAGCAGCCTAACAGATTGGCACTCAGTGCTGTCTCTGAACTCATACTAAGTAAAGAACAACTTTATGAAATGTTTCAACAGATCTTAGGAATAAAGAAACTAGAGCATCAATTGTTATACAATGCTTGCCAGGTAAGTGTTTCTTATGTGGTTTGTATTTTTTACATTTTCATACACATTTTTTCCTGCAATTAAGGTAATGTATATGACAGACATAGATACAAAAAACATGCATGGCTGAAGGAGTAATTTAGATCCTCTTTTTCCACTGCTGCTGTCACCTAAGGGTGAGGTATAGTTGGGATATTGCCATAAGCACAGATAATCACTTGTGTAGTACCTTTTGGAAAATATTGTATTTATGCAATGCCTATGATGTCCTGATTATGTACATATCGGGTAAGGGGAAAAGTTATAAAGATGTGGCTGTTCTATTTCAGACAGTCAAAATTGAAAAAACTGAATCAATCCTGTAGACACATTCTTAATTTTTCTACCTCCTGCCTTTCTTTTGGCAACTAGATAACATAACCATAGTGTAAAACCTACTAAAATGCATTGACGTTGTAACCTTCTGTTGCATGTTCTAGTCAACTCCATTCATCCTAGAGGTAAATGAAAACAAATTTTATTGCTTGTTTATTAAGAGACACAGGATTCATTTATTCTTAAGACAATAGGGTTATAATGCTGCCTTCAGCAATTGTGGGCACTGCCAAACAAACAAAAAAGTAAGCCAGCCCTCATATAACATCATCTCTGAGGATAATGCCACGTTTTTTTCTGCTAGTGTCCTAGGAGGTTGGATGCCATTTCTTTAGCTCTGTTTAATACTTTAAAGTGTTTTGTTCTCTTCTATCAGCATTATCAGTACTTTGTGAATGTTTTTCTCTATAAAAAAGACAGCAGCTATCCAGATCAGCCTTCCTCAGTGATGCCTTGGAGGCCACACCCAGACCCCGCTGGACCAAAAACTGCAGAGCCTTTTTGAATTGTGACTTTCACGGTTGCCAAGGAAGCACCAGAAACTCACTGCTCCAATTCTACCTTTGACTGTCGTTGATATGTCTGCCGGGTGCAGGCTATGGTGTGCTCCCTCTACAGCGTTGGTGTGGGAGAGATACTACCGTGAGGTGTTTGCTGTACTACGCCTGATTTTTATCTGGAAATTATTCCAAAAACGTTGGACTTTTATGAATACCGGTTCTTGTGCGGTTGATTGTACAAGGAATTTTCAACACTGCCAGTTGCACTCTCCAGACCTTTGTTTTACTGTGTTAGCCACAGGGCACTCTCCAGGTTCTGAGCCCCAGCACAGCCTCAGGTATGATATTGTCTTTGAAGGCTCTTCTCTCTATAGGTTGAATTTGATGGACTTGTGTCTTTTTTCAACATATCTATGTAATTATGTAACTATGTAATACAGTCTCTGAAGACTCACTCTGTGAGTGGGCCATTGGACAAGGCGAAGATAAACTGAGTGTCCTGCAGGTACTGGGGCCTGCTTATGCTGCTTTCTAGACCTTTACATTCATGGCTTAAATGTGATAGTGTTCAGAGGCATTTTTATAAGGAAGTTCCTTATAACTAGTCCTTGCCCTTTGTGAACTCTCCAATTCTTCACCTTAATGAGTATCTGATTACTCTACTCTAGTTGATGGGGCCTTTACCTTTGGAGACTTCACTGATAAACAGACTTTTTATGTAAATCGCAGTTTTAATTAACTAGAACAACTCTGTCCTCTTCTGGGGAAGACTCTTCTTTGTGTTGCTATTGTTTAATGGATCAAGTCTTTTAAAAGTTTCAGAACAGAATCCTCGACCCTTGCAGCTTGCTGATCTATTGCCTCAAGCTCTCCACTTTAGTTTTGATGACCTTTTACAGGTGTCTCTAAGTTGGTGTCTCGCATGGTTGTAATGTCTGTCCATATGTATAGAGCACTATGGCTATGTGTTTGGAATGTTGAAGATTTGTTTAAACAATGTCTCATTCATTTGCCCTTTAAGGGAATGTTGCTCTTTGGTCATGCACTTAACACAGACCTGCACAAACTTCCTGATCTTCACTCTGGAAGCACGCTTTAAATGAAGCAAAAAAACCCCAGTCTTTAGATAGCATTGAAGTAAGATCTCATAGGAGATCTAATTCTGTGAACACATTTCTCAAAGCCATAAACCTTCTGTTTAAGGTATTCCTTCACCTTTACCAAGGGGCTATTGTTTCCTTATTTTCTTGAGTATCTTGTATTTTTATTCCTTTTAATTTGACTTCTTGGTTTTCATCCTGTAGCTTCTAAACTACTCCCTGCAGCCAAATACCTGGCTTATTTAGCTTCTTTTATTTACTTGGAAACTTTCTCATCATGGAATGCCTAAAGCATGGGCAGGCAACCTCGGCACGTATCGAATATGCGCGTTTCGTGTCACGCGGTTTTACCGTGATTAGTGGTAAAACGCGCGACAAACGTGCGTTTCCGAGGGCTATCCGGCTGTATCCTAATGGATACGTGCGGCAAATATGCCCCAAAGAAGCTCCTGTACTTCTTTGGGCATAGGGCGTTTTACAGCGCGTTCCTACGCACTGTAAAACGCCCAAGTGGGAACCATGCCCATAGGCAATCATTGGTTTTCACATGTTGAGCATTTTATAGCGCGTAGGAACCCGCTGTAAAACGATTAGGTGTGAACCAGGCCTAAATGTCTCCGCATCTAGGAGTCATGCCTGTGAGTCTTGCAATGGGACTTATAGTTCCACAGCAGCTCGACTGACGAGGTTGCCTAACCCTGGCCTAAAGTATCCTATTGAAATAAACTGTCCATGTCATACTTTCTAACCTTTTTGAATGTTGTCCCCTCTCTATTCTGAGTATTAAAGGTGTCATTCAGTTTTCTCCATGTAAGGCTTAAAATTTAGGGGAACTCTATTTTCATCCTTCCCTCAGTACTATGCTGCTTCTCATTTGAGTGTGCAGTAAGGATTTGGATTAACATAAACAAATGGCCAATATCTAATTGATACTATTCCTTATATGGTTTCTGGAAAGACTACGTTTTCTTTTAATCTTCTCTTTTTTTTTTCTACTTTTCAGTCTGCTTCTATGGATCAGTCAGGTTTCCATGCTGTAATGGAATATTTAACCTGGTCAAACTGACTCCCTCTGCACTTTAGTAATCTCTGCATAATCCTTTTCTGAAGGTACATTTTTTACTGCTTCCTTCCCTGACTGATGTCTGCCTCCTTATGCTAGACATAATTGGCAGCCTTCATGGTGCCCTCACCATTTCTATGCAGGACTTACATCCTTGTTACTGGATCCTTCTGTCTGTATATTCCTTGTTTTTTTACACTTTTATTTTTCCTTTATGGTGCTTGACTGGTTGTCCTCCACTTTTTGTTGAAGCCAATCATTGTTTTAGATAGAGGCCTACCCCTAGTGGTGTTTCCTATCTTGATCTGAAACGCCAGATGTTTCCTCTTTAGTATCAAATCCAGCTGGTTCAAGCATGAATTTCCTAGGATAGTTAAAAGGTTTATGCACTGGATCTCTGTAGTTCTTGCCCACCCCTCAGTTGGACTGCTTTTGGCCTTATATACTGCTTAAAAACAAAACTGCGCTATGATGTTTGTAGGTGTGGTTATACAGGGGTTGGCTTAACTTTTGTTTGCCAGTGTTTAAACCTAATGAAGAGGGCAGTATAACTCAATTTTCTTAAGAATAAACTGAATCCGGTGCCCCCTAATGAACTCCAAGAAGCTAATTTTCAAAAGGTAAGAACAAACATCCTTTTGTTCCTGCTGGTTCCTTTAATCCTACATCAATTCACCCATTCCTGAGTTAGCTATACTTTTTTTCTGCATGCCAGAACTGCTTGATGTTTTCACTAACACTTCTCCTGTCCTCCTGCTTAGGTGCAGTTTTCTGTTGATTGGAAGAAGTCATAAGTATCCATTACCATTTATGAACCCCCCAGGCCAATTTTTTTGTACTGCTCTCCATGGTCAATGATTGCTGTGGCTACATATTACACCTTATGTGCTATTAATACATTTATTTTATGTGATGAATTGTTTTGATTAGGAACATGTAAGCTCTGCCACCAGGAGGTTGGACACCAAGAAGCAGAAGGTTCATCCTTCTACAGGGCATATCCTTTTGCACAGACAGTCAGCCTAAAGGTGCCCATACATCTTGCGATTATCATTTGATTTCCGAACAAAATTGGGTTTTCGTATGCTAATCGGCTAGTTCATGGGAAGTGAACGATAAGAATTACTGTACAACTAGCTGAATTTTGTCTATCGGGCAGGCTAGATAACTTTTTCAAATCATATGAAAATTGATGGATTAGTGGCGTTTTCATACAAAAAAGAAAATTGGAACATGAACACTGCACATGCGCAAACGAAAATCTGTTCAGTTGATCGTCGAAATTTGGTCAGTTAGTATTGCTAATGGACGATAATTGAAATCCACATTGGTCTGTTCATGTTGGGGCAGTCGTGCAGAAATTGAACGAGGGTTCGATGACGAGACGAAATAAAATCGTATGATAGTTGTAAGATGTATGGCCAACTTTTAGTAGTAGCTTGCAGTCAAAAGAAGCTTCAGGTAATCATAGAAGCCTAAACTCCAGGCAGAATGGCCAAAACATCATGCCTGTTGTCTACTGTGCCCCCCATTGAACTCTTGAGCGAAAAAGGGATTTTGTACTCCCCCATCAAACCTTTTTCTTTAAGACTTGCCTAAGATAGAAACAAGATAAAATGGTAAAACAAGGGATAGTGTTCCACTCCTTGAAAGCTTCTGCCGATGTGCTCTTTTCACAATGCCATGCCTGTGAACAGGTACACAGTCCTAAATTATAGTTTATGTCCAATATGCTAAGTAATTATGTGATTTTATTTAGAAAACTAATGAAATAACGGACAAAACTTAGTTGATATAAGAGTTTGTTAGCACTTATGCATGAGTGCAGTTACATTGTGGTGTGTTGATTCAAGAAAGACTATGCTGTGGCTACATCTCGCACTGCATTTAGTTAACCTACGAAGGAGGATGGAATAGTTACTCTTCATCTGTGCTTGCAAGAAGGCTTTCAACAACAAAACGGCACACTGACTATCGAAGTTTGGTTTATCCAACAGGCTGACTCTAACAGTCCAGACACATTTTCTTAAGATGCTGGGACACCTATTGCTGCACTTTATGTACAGAAAGCCCAAATTAACAATGTGTGGTGAATATGGAATCCGATATAGAGGCAGTTTATTACATAACGTACACTTCTACTGGCCTTCTAATAACCCTGATAAATGGTCTTTACAAAACCTTTCTGATCTGGATTACAAAGAACTCAGATTAGAAGTGGTACTAAACTCTTGTTCAATAATAAAAAAAATAAAAAAAGCTGGCAGGTTTTTTGACTGAAGAGGCTTTGTATGTCTCACCTGTTATAATTGCTTCTCCCTGATTGTCAGTGTTTGTGCAGCTTAGGGTACATACCCAACATGATTCTGTGCCAGGACAAGCTAACTCTTGAGCATACTTGCAGGAGTTATGTCATCCTGGGCCAGGCAATCAAGTTAACTGAAGACTCCAAACCTCAAAGAAGTGCTGGTGAGAAAGGAGATTGCAATCGTCGCAATACTGTAGAAGGGAATTCACAAGAAAAAATTTGTCACAATGTGCAAATATCCTCAGCATACTTCCACATTATGTTAAAACCTCCTGGAGCTCCAATGGTCCTAATTGATTTAATACTACTTTAAGATAAATCTTCTGATTTTTTTTAATGGTTGCATTGTTTACTTGATACTATTAGTCACTGATTTCTTTGAATTGTTACCTGGAACTTCTATTTATTTTTTATTTCCTGCCTTTTTCCTTCTCATTGAAATCTGGATGTCCTTCCAGGGGATCTCATAGCATCTGCATGTCTTCTTAATGTTAACCTGTGTTTATTTTAAAATTCTTTAATTGGGCCTAGTCTTATATTTTCTATGTTAAAGGAGAACTATGTGGTGACATTTTTTTTCCATCGTTCTCTTTTGGGTCATGGGAGGACATATACTACGTCCTCCCATGACTCAAAAATCAGCATATAGCGGGCTATTGCCCGCTATATGCTGAGAGCGCCACACCTGGGATGGATCCAGACAATACTGTCGATCCACCCAGTTTGCCCCTTCCCATCTTTCTCTCCAGTCAGCTCTGGAGGATCGGGGAGGGAAGGGGGGAGTCCGCACAGGGAGCGGTGACCGACAGTCACCACTTTCTGCAGGGAGATGATCGGGAAGTGAGCGGATCAGCGGTATGTTTTTGCTCCCTTCCCGATCAATAGAGCCGACGTGTGACGGTTTCAATGTCCCGTCGGCTCTAGCTATGGGGTGTAGCACTTCCAAATATTTAAAACCTCAGAGACGTCACAGACGTGACAATGCTTTGATCTTCCTTTCTCCCCAGAGCCATCTTTTTTCAGACATTATCCAGGGTCAGCATCTACTTGTGGACTAAGATGCTGGCCAGGGAACAGTGCAAATATGTAAATCCTGGTGTATGCTAAGTAGTTTTTATTTTCTTGGCTCCCTTTCTCACACAGCTCAGCGCTGTACTGCTGTCTCATCTTATGACCTGTTAGAAAGTGTATAATCAGTGGGAGATAGGAGGCTAATGAAATGTATTCCTCCTACCTGCAGACTCATATGACATATTTCTATCAAAATGGCCTTCTCCAGAAGAGAGAAAGTACTTAGCCTAGCCCAGTCACATGACCCCAGTTATTTATTATTGTTGGAACAAAGAACAGTTTTTATAGAAAATTATATTGCTGAGTATTGTGAAATGTCAAAAATATGCATATAAAGACTTTAAGGGCCCGTTCACACTAGATGAGGTGACCGGAATTCTTTTCAGCAACTGCACAATTCCAGTCACCTATATGTGCCCTGATCATGCCACAATGCAGGTGTGATCTCGGTTGTGATGTGCTGTAATAAAATACAGACATGCTGCATTTTATCGCAGTACACTGGACCTCACAGCAGTTAACCACAGCTCAGCACAGCCCACCGCATTGCTGTGTAGAGACATGAAACACTTAATTTTAGTGGTTGGGCCCCAAAAGTTTTTTGAACTTTAGAGTGAACAGAAGATCACAATAAATTCTACAATTTCATGTGTCGATCTTCACCATTACCTAATATGTATAAGTAACGTAAAAGTGCCTCTATTGCAATTCTTTATCCAGCATACCTCGGTTACTTTAGATTTGGAGACTAGGAAAGGTGAACCAATGCACTTTTTACAAGAAATGGAGTTGTCTTTTTAGTGATTCCATCTCCCGGATTTACATATATAGTATATTTAATGGATCAGTAAACTGATTTTTAATGAGATGGACAGGGAGGGAGGAGAACAATTTTATACTACCGTTTTCAATAATTTTCTAATTTATGTTCAGTTGTTTTCTATACAAACACACATTAAAATGCAAGGGTTAACCTTACATTATGAGGAAGAGCCAACATGTCCAATTTTCCAAGGTTACTTTTGTAAGTTTCTTAGGATTTTCTGCATTTAAAGATCATTTTAAAATGATCTGCATAAAAATCATGACTGTTATTGAGAATTTTCCTGTGTAGCTTATTTAGTAAAATAAAGTTCTAAATATGCACTCATTCTTATTATACAACTTTTATGCTAAGGTGAAATTTGGAGCTGCATATGGATGTACATGCTTGTTATTGTTTGGGCTGTGTAATATGCTGGAACTGCAGCTATATCGTGGATATAATTGGTGATGAAATACATTTGATGTTTTTGTTATATAATTCAATAAATCATTATCACTTATGTATTCAGATATGTTAATAACCTCCATCTGATTTAATTTAGCTCTAGTCAGATGAGGAAGATCATGAAATCTTGTACTTTGGGTTACTTTGTTTAGCACACAGTCATGTCACTGCCCTATCAAATAAACCTGTAATTTGTGGACTTCAGCTATTTATTACTGCTAAACATTAACTAACTAGTGTCACAGTAGAAGATAAAATATTTGCCATTTGTGTTCTAGTTGGATAATGCAGATGAACAAGCAGCCCAGATTCGACGAGAACTTGATGGACGTATACAAGTTGCAGAACAAATGGCAAAGGTAAATGTGACATACTGTAGGTATGCTTTGTCAGGAGTAAATTTGGATTATTTATTTTCAATGAGCAAAAACTTTCTTGAAACTTTAAACAAATGCCTCAACATTCTCTATGTGGATGTAGGTTACAAAACCAAAGGTTTTATATAAATGGTAAAAAAATGTTTTTAAATTGATACAAAACCATTATAGTTTCCCTTTTAACTGGTGATGTTTGTCTTTTAAACCAGATTAAGACCAAGCAAGTTAATAGCTTTGCCGGAGGAGACGGGTAGACTGAGTAAAGGGTGCGGGGAGGGGAATAACACAGGAAGAAGCTGGAGGTGGAGATTCACACTATAGTGTCATGGCGATGAAGTAGCGAATCAAGACAATGGGGAGCAGGTTGAGGAGAAAGGCAATATGAGTGCTTTCTGGTGCCAGATGAGAGGAACAGTACAAGGTAAAATAATGCAGTTGAGGTGGACTAGAAAAGCAGTCAAGGGAGCCCCTGGAGGTAGATAAAGAGGCGAGAGATGAGAGGAGCAGTAATGGAATGTACTCAAAGCAGTCAAGAGATACATTGCAGGTAGGTACTGAAAGGCAGTCAGGAACAGTAGTATAGGAAGGGGTTGTTGGAGGTAAATGAGTGGAGCAAGTATGACTGTGTGCTTGAGGAAAGAGGCAGTATAGGGGTAATTTGACAAAAAGAGCAGAATAGACTAAACAGACGGAGAGAATTCCTGCTGAATCAGCCAAAATTTGGTCTGTGGGTGGCCCTATTCCATTAATAGTAGCTGATTTATTAGATCGACTTTTGCCAAAGGGACATGCTGGAAAAACTCAGCCGAACAGTCTGCAAGCACTGTTCAGGGATTCTGACATTGGTCGTGGTCAAAATGCAATGTACACCGTGGGAGATTTGTTCATCCAGGCTGTTAGTGTGGATGGAGGAATCTGGCATTTTTTTTATTCAGCCTAACAGGCTGAACGAAAAAAAATATAACCATGTGTCCCCAGCTTATAGTAGTGACATAAAGAGTAGTATCTTACAGCTGCAATGCTTGTAACCCATATCAAAGATCTGTGAGTGAGAAAACCAAACAAACAATGAGCTACAGGTTGATGAGGGGCCTCTTCCTTTTAAACCTACCCTTGATTGTATGAGAACTGGCACCTGCATAGGTTGCTTTGTGGTTGATCTGACCCTGATTTTAACATTGAAATTTGACATGTACAATGAGGCATTGCCATGGAATGCCTCGCAAAGCCCTTTAAAATGGTGTAATGTTCCAAATACCTAGACCAATTTGTGTCTCCCATTTTTGCCTCCTAGGTGTGCTGGGTCTGATTTTGTAGAATTAAAATCCTCAAATAGTGTGACTGCCTTCTAAACTTCAAGTGTGCCTCAGAGCACACTTGTCTGTGAACGCTTACCAAATGTCTTAAAGGAGAACTATGGGGTCAGTGCTTTTCCCCATAGTTCTCCTAAGGGTAACGGGAGGACACAAACTAGCGTCCTCCCGTCACCCAAAGCTCAGTATATAGAGAGCTACAGCTCGCGGTATACTGAGACGCCGCAGCCGGGACAGATCCCGACATTACTGTCTGGATCCACCCAGCTGCGTGATTGACGGCTGGCTCTGCCTACCTAGAGGCAGAGCCAGCTGTACCCACCCCCTCCCCGTCCGTTCCGCCAGTCAGCGCTGGAGGATCGGAACGGGAGGGGGGGGGGATCCCTGCAGGGAGCCGTAAGTGACAGTCACGGCTCTCTGCAGGGAGAGTATGTGTTCGCTCACTTCCCGATCTATTGAGCCGACCTGTTTAATTGACACAAGTCGGCTAGAACTATGAGGCTGAGTGATTTTCACTCGTCTCATAGTTCTCCTTTTAATAAACGGCTTGCAACTTCTTTTTTACATTCTTGTATTTATTTTTCATATTTGCTTGACAACAGCTCTTTATATTGTTATTTATTGTAATACTTTCCTATTTCTCGTTAAATAATGATATTACTTTTTTGAAGGAAAGAAAATTTCTAAAGTTCTTAACAAAGGAAATGGAGGGTATGTTTATAGAAGAGTTGCGAGCATCGGTGAACTTACTAATGGCCAACCTAGAAAGTCTTCCAGTGTCTAAAGGTGGTCCAGAATTTAAACTTCAGAAGTTAAAACGTTCACAAAACGCTGCATTTCTTGACATTGGAGATGAAAATGACGTTCAGCTATCAAAATCAGATGTAGTATTGTCATTCACTTTAGAGGTAGGAATTTTGAGAGCTGACTTGCAGCCAAAAAGTAAAATATGCCATATATGTAGATGGTTTTTCTGGCACACTATGGTCAGAAGGGAGACACTATTATTCATTATTGCTGCTTTGTCCTGTTGCACCTCCCCTAAAGTAGCCACTAGAAAGACCTGCAAACCAGTGTATATTATATTATAATTTATTTTAATGTGGCACTCACAATGCGAATCAAAATGAAAACACAAGATGGCTTCTTTTCAATATTTTTAACTACATGGTGAGTAGAGGAGTTGACCAGAATATAACATTTTTGTTTTTTATTTTTCTTTCTGTAATTATTGGGCAAACCATTTTAAAGTAATTTCATACAAGATTATATACATAGTGGGGTTGAATTACTAATAAAGTAGAGCATGTTCATTTTCACAGCGAGTTCTCTCTTTGCAAAGGGAATTTTCACTTGGCTTAGTGAATAAAGTGATTGGAAATTTTTAGCAAAGTGATTTTTCACTTTTGTTTCGTATTCACTAAGAAAGGCTAATATTCTTTTTGAAAGTGAACATACCACAATTTTGAAAGCCAGGTTACATTCAGTAATACAAGAACATGTTCTTTGTAACAGAGGTGATCCTAATAGAGGCTTGCTGCTTTGAACACCAAAGTGTGTGTACCTAAGGGCTCCAGTGATCTAAACCCTGACAAAACCCAGCCAAAAGGTAGGCTGCTACTGCGTTGAGGTCTCTTGAGATAATGCATAATGTTTTGAGAATCCTTTTGTCATGTTTATTTGAAAAATAAAGATACCTCTGTCAGGGTTTTTATTGCTATTTGTGTCTGTTTTGTGTAAATTTACTCCCACTTCTTGTCATGTCATCAAAACGAAATGAGGAGCAAAATTTGTCAGCTGTTAAGTTTTTGAACGCTGTCGTGTCCCCAATAAGGAGTGATTTTTCCCTTTTTCATTTTCTGTGTGATCATTGGCAAAAGATGTGAAGTTAAATCTTTCTGGCAGGGACACAGCAATAAAATTGCATTTTTAATTGACTTGCACGATTCTACTTCAGATAGTTTAACTTTAAGTACATATCTAGGTTTTTTTCTCATGTTTAAATGTCTTTTTTGTATATTTTGCTTACAGATTGTTATTATGGAAGTTCAAGGATTGAAATCGGTGGCCCCAAACAGAATTGTTTATTGCACTATGGAAGTGGAGGGAGGGGAGAAGCTCCAGACTGACCAAGCTGAAGCATCAAGACCTCAGTATGCAATACTGTTACATGCACTTCATAGGGCATTAACCAGCATTAACATTTTAAAAATTGACCAAGGTGTTCTCATTGGATGCTCGATTGTGCTTCATTTGGTTACAAATAGCATGGAAAGGCTGTAAACAATGACATTTTTCAGCTAGTATTTTCAGCTTTTGAACCATTTTTGTAAAATTTTGTAGTAAAATGATTTGTGTACAAACTGATCACATGCACATAGAGGTGTCTACACGTATGTTCATAAGTCTGCAAGGACATCATTGGTCCCTAAAAAATATCAGCCATTCTAATCTGCAAACATTCATACTTCCTGGTAATGTCAAAGTCTGTCCTATCCTATTCCATATCTACCACTGGCCAAAAAAAAGTATTGGGAACAGAGTTGACCAATAACAGAAAAGGTTCTATTTATAAATAATTCTCAGGACCCTTCACCCTGAATCTATGAAGGTCTATTTTGGGAGAATAATTCTAAAAGCGAATGCTCTTAATATATTTTTTTTCCCAGTTCGAATGTAGTGTTGTAATATTACATTATGGCCACTGGATGGAAGTTTTCCAAATTTGAATGTAGTGTATTGATTTATTTATAAAGCAAACAAAGGTAACACCTTGCTGTGTTAGGTATCGCACACTGGCTGGATGGTAAATAAGATTTCAAAAAGATGCTATCATCTCCCCTTTATCAGACAGCCACATGAGGTAGCAGTCAATGCACAGCAGCCATTTCTTATAAACATCACCAAATCAATATTGTTCTAATAAGGAAGCAAATTAATTAATCTATTACTTTTTAATCTTTGGAGATTCAACTGTGGATAATGTTGCTATGTTTTTATTAGAATGATCTAGCTGACAACATGGCAAGTCTATTGATTTTCAAAGGAAACAGCACATTGTTGCAATTTAGAAACAAATTGTCATTTAATTGAAAATAATTTCACATTCCTGGTGTCATTGTCATTATTTTCTTAGATGGCACAGAATTGCTAGAAGAAAGCTTTCTTTTATTTATAAAAACAAGCAAAAATTACCCAGTTGCGAAATTTACTAAACAAAGCCATTGTACTTATTTGGTGACTTTTTTTTTAGCTGCAGTATATTGTATTTATTTATTTTTAGTAACATCTCACTATATTATAGCACAACTTCATCGTGATTACATTGGTGGCAGCAGCTAAGCTAGGATTGCTGCACAAGGTGCCAGAAATCACACGTATATAGCTATAGTTAGATTCTTAGAATTCAGCTATAGAACCCAAAAATTATTTATTTTATATATTGCAGGTATTTATAAATAAAAGTACAATATTTTACATTATTTATAATTGTATATTTATTTATTATTAAATTAGAGGTTCCATGCTTCTCATCCCACGATGCAGCCCTAGGTGCCAGAGTGACCATAGCCAGAAAGTTGGCATTGGCTTTGTGTCTCTCGAGCACTGATGGGGCTTTTTTGTAAAACAGAAAAACCAAAAAGGGCGCAACACTAGGTAGGCTGACTGGCCGGGTCAAACGACCCAGGGAAGGTGACAGGGAAAATCGTGTGACAATGGATGCAAAGGGCGAAAAACTAATTAATAGCTGAGGAAACAAAAAAAATGTTTTACTTACATTTTAAATCATGGGACCAGAGGATGGACGGCCGGTGTGAAGGATCGGGTCATCCGTGGTGTCTATCTGAAGCTGGTGTGCCGGAAGATGTGCATCCACACGGGGAGAGGAGACTGTGGACGAGGGGGAAAAGGGGGGGGAAAGCAACCAGAAGAATGGGGACTCAGTCCGTGGCCCGCTAAGTGGGTCCAGGGGCTAAGTAGTGTGGGGGAGAATCAGCGGTGTCAGAAGCAGGCTGAATGGCTGTGGCCGCGGCTGTGGATCGTGATGCTCGGTCACTGTCAGCGCAGACTGGGGCAGTGTGCGGGAGCCGTTGGTTGAAAAATTGTCGGCTGTCAGTCGGGTCTGTGATGGGAAGAGGGTGGTAGCGGGATGGAAGGGCAGTGAGCAACTCGTTTCGAGGAGTGATACCTCTTTTTCAAGCTCGAGAAGGAACATATCGTGGCGGCGGGAAACCGCCGATTTAAATGTGACAGCTGGGCGGGGCTTGGTGTCAGTGGGCGGGGAAGCTGCACGCTAGAAGCTGTGGAGCCTCGGCATATGTAAATAGCGTTCGGTAAGGGCTTGTACTACACTAGCCAGGTCGGACAGTTAGGGGCAACTTGGAGATGAAGTTTGGGGGATATACAGCCCATGTTCTGTCAGTAGGGGAGCGTGCAATGGGCATAAAAGACATGGATGGTGAGTTACTCCCAGGGGGAGCATTAGAAATGTCTTAAAGGACACTCTATGGTTGATTATCTAATTGTATATAATCTTGGAAGGGGGGACAGTTTGTGATGTGTGCGTGTTAAAATAGATCTCTGATTGTGCATGGTGATTCTATTATAAATACGAGACGGGACTGATGAAAAAGAGCATTTGATGCGGGTATTCCGTCTCGGAAACCAATCTACCATATATTGTTTTTAATGCCGCAAGCAAATTGTTAAAAGTGAGATTTGGGGAGGATCACAATGGGAATAAAAAAATGAGACATATGGAGTGGACCATAAGAGATGAATAAAAAATATGAGTATAAAATTATAAGTATAAAAATAGACAAAATGTATTAAAAATATATTAAAAATGTATTAAAAATATTATGCATATGTAGTAAAACGAATACTTAAAACGAAAGATTAAACAAATGTTCCAAAGGCTTAAAAAGGCTATCATAAGAACGCGTGGGTCATTCTGATATGTGAAAAGGCGTAACATAAGTTTTTAACTAAGGCTGAGTTTGTGGAGGGGAACATAGGGTATGTAGGAGACCGATTAGTCTGGGTCTTCAGAGCCATGGGTGGGCATCATTTACAAAATGGTCAAAATTTCCATTTCTTCATTTAGTCCAGTTGGAACAAGGGTATTCAGTTTGTATATCCAGAATGTTTCTTGTCTACATAGCTTTTGGAAACGTTCGCGTGGGGAGAAATGGTCGGGAATTTGTTCTATGGCGAAAACACAAAGATCCTGGATGCGTTTGCCGTGTTTCGCTGCAGTGTCTAGGGACGCTGTGGTCACAGTTGCCGTCAGCGATGAAGCGTCTATGATCTCCTATCCTCTCTCAGCGGACGGATGGTACATATTTTTATACTTATATTTTTATACTCCTATTTTGTATTCATCTCTTATGGTGCACTCTATATGTCTCATTTTTTATTCCCATTGTGATCCTCCCCAAATCTCACTTTTAACCATTTCCTTGCGGCATTAAAAACAATATAAATCTCACTTTTAAACATTTCCTTGCGGCATTAAAAACAATATATGGTAGATTGGTTCCCGAGACGGAATACCCGCATCAAATGCTCTTTTTCAGCAGTCCCGTCTCGTATTTATAATAGAATCACCATGCACAATCAGAGATCTATTTTAACACGCACACACCACAAACTGTCCCCCCCTTCCAAGATTATATGCAATTAGATAATCAACCTTAGAGTGTCCTTTAAGACATTTCTAATGCCTCCCCCTGGGGGTAACTCACCATCCATGTCTTTTATGCCCATTGCACGCTCCCCTACTGACAGAACATGGGCTGTATATCCCCCAAACTTCATCTCCAAGTTGCCCCTAACTGTCCGACCTGGCTAGTGTAGTACAAGCCCTTACCGAACGCTATTTACACATGCCGAGGCTCCACAGCTTCTAGCGTGCAGCTTCCCCGCCCACTGTCACCAAGCTCCGCCCAGCTGTCACATTTAAATCGGCGGTTTCCCGCCGCCGCGATATGTTCCTTCTCAAGCTTGAAAAAGAGGTATCACTCCTCGAAACGTGTTGCTCACTGCCCTTCCATCCCGCTACCACCCTCTTCCCATCACAGACCGGACTGACAGCCGACAATTTTTCAACCAACGGCTCCCGCACACTACCCCAGTCTGCGCTGACAGTGACCGAGCATCACGATCCACAGCCGCGGCCACAGCCATTCAGCCTGCTTCTGACACCGCTGATTCTCCCCCACACTACTTAGCCCCTGGACCCACTTAGCGGGCCACGGACTGAGTCCCCATTCTTCTGGTTCCTCTCCCCCCCTTTTCCCCCTCGTCCACAGTCTCCTCTCCCCGTGTGGATGCACATCTTCCGGCACACCAGCTTCAGATAGACACCACGAATGACCCGATCCTTCACATCGGCCGTCCATCCTCTGACAATGCGATTTGGGATTTTAGTGCAGCAAAGGCAGCATGTTCTCAGCTCAAACACAAAGGAAACACATTCGATTTCTAGCAGGTCAACTGGTATTTTGCTATACTTGAAGCATTTTTTATGGAATAAAACATAGAAAAGTGCATTTATTGAAGAGATGCACTGGCATTTTGCTGTGTAAGCAGCAAGCTTAGCTTAGACAATTTTAATATAGTATCAAATATGTTGCAATGTTAAATGTTGCTGGTATTGTTTGACAAATTCCTTTCTTTATGTATCGGAGCCAATAATCCAGAAATCCAGAAAATCCTTTATAGCTATGAATACTGTCTCTCAACTGTATGCCAAGGGGGAATTGTGTTCAACAATCATATAGGGGTCAGATAATTTATGCATTTCAAATCATCGCCTAATATTTATGGCGATTGTTCTCCCTTTTGTACATTTGCATGAGAACAAATTAGAGCACCAAATGGAACAGTTTCCAAATAAAATTATAAAATAGCTGTTTGGTGATGCACATGACATAATTTTTAATTGTATTTAAGTTTCTAAAAATAGGCCAGTCTGCTGACCTTTTTTATTGGTAAAAGCTGTCATGAATAACCTTTAAAAAAAAAGCCCATTACAGCATTCGGCAGCTAAGCCATCTCTTTTATTGTGACTGATCTTGGGTTTTGTGTATGGCTTGCCATGTAATATACATTTATGTGCAATGTATGAAGGTTCATTCACTAATGAACTTTCTTAATGATTAGTGTTTAAAAACACCTGTAATATTTAACATTTTAAGCTGAAAGAGCTGCAAATTAATTATCCCAAATCTTCATCTTTTCACCCGAGACCAGTTCTATGCCCAAACCCATTTAATTAATTTGTCAACTTAGCCCTGGGGACAGTTTTTGCGTAGACACTGTACAGTATATCAAAATACTTTTAGTCAATCAGTAACATACAAAGCATTGGTTGTGCACACATGCTTTCTTTTATTAAATTCTTTATTTTGTACAAAAGGGTTATCCAAACAAGAAGGAAGCATTTTGGTGCAAATTTTTTTTAAATCAAAGCGATAAAGTGCCAATGCTCATAAGTGACAAGTAGTCAATCGCATGGATCCTGTAACTTTTCAAATGACAGTAAAACATTTAACAACAGACATAGAGGGGGAAATCGGATGCACATCAGGAGCATAGCGTTACGCGCGGGACACACATGCTTTCTACTAGTTTGCAATCAAAGTTATTAAGGTGGTTGGCATATAGAAAATAACCTATTCATTTGCTTACTTTTATTGGTGTTGCTATATTATGTTTTAAAGTAATACTTTATATTTAAATATAAAAGACCTGCATGCTGATGTGATTTTTAATAAAAGAGGGGTAAAAGTCTGCTTTTAAGGAGCTTATATTACCAGGTCTGATGTGTGCAAAGCAGACTTTCTTCTTTTAGATTACTATGATGTTAAACGTTAGTGCCAGCCAAGGTGGGGCAGAAATAGGTATTATCCATAGCATCCACAGACGGTAAATGTAAAACAAGAGTCAATAAAACACTAGTGTGGTTTTATAAGGCTCCATTTTATGTACTAAAAACCTTCACTGAAAGTAAAGTGAAAAATTAACTTGTCCTACTTTTAGAAGGTGCAGTGTAGGTAGAAGGGGGTTGTTAAATAGGCTTGATGTTATAATGCGCAGTATAGGAGTTCAGGAGAAAAACCCTTGCTTAGTTTGTAACAGGGTTTTTCTCCCAAACTTCTATACATTGCATGCCCTAATGGAAGGTCATGGCTGTTCCCCTGTGATCATGGAGAGCAAATCTTTAAGAGACAGAGATCCAAGTGGGGAGAGAGAGATAATCTTCACAGGTGAATCCCCAGTAGGTTTCAGAGACCCGTTTGTTTCTTAAAACCTTCACATCTAAGCATATACAGTTTATACTGCTGGTACAATGTAAAATACACATACAATCTAATAATGCAGTCTCTTGACATTTCATTATGGCTTGACACAAGGAAGTACTAAGCTGTCAATCAGACTCGATAAGCAGAGAGAATATTGATGTCAGTAGTTAGTTCCACCTCCATTCTGAGCCATGGTGCTGCTGGAAGTGGCAATTTTATTTTTTGCCACCACTACAGGCAATAGGGTCTTTTGACTCTAGATGCTAGATGCAGTTAAAGTGACCCTGGCATTATTACTATGCCTGACTTCCAGTCACCGCTCTCTGCAGAGATTTCCCCCTCCTCTCTCTGTTCCCTCAGCGCTCATTGGAGGGACCGACGGGAGGGGGTGGGCATTGCTGGCTCTGACTCTAGAGAGGCAGAACCAGCTGTCAATGAGATAGCTGGGTGGGTCCTGTGAATATTGTTGAATCCTTCCCGGCTGCAGCACAGCTCTGCGCTGTCAGCATATAGCATCTACTGCATAACCTGACTATGGGTTCCAGGAGTACAGTAGTAAATGTATTCCTGTGACCCAAAACCGAAATAAAGCCAGAAAAAAAGGTTCTCTTTTACCCGACGCTGCCAAACTTGCTCTAGACATCCTAAGCTAATATTACATGTTAGAAAAAAAAGGTATTGTGGCATAAAATCCTGTGATAAAAAGTGATTAGCCTACTAAATACCACTTTCACTGCACAGCTACAGCAGGTGGTTGACAGTCATTCAGAGAATGATCAATTATCGGATTTTGCATTCTGTATGTTCTTTAGAAATCTTAGCTGGATATTCACAGCCTAGCTTTTTCTGTAATGTATCCGGTCAACTCTTCACTAGCCAGTAGTGCAGTGAATGACATGCAGCTTTCACAAGCTGTGGAATTCTCCCATATTGACCATAGAGGTTTGCATCATCCTGGAAACTCTTGAAAAGCGATTAATGACTACTTCCTTTTGATAAACTGTGAATTCTCATGTTCGATGAGTTATCTTTCTCTAGCTGTAGAAAAACAAGGGACAGCAGTTTACCATTGAATTATTTTAATAGCCAATTTAGCAGAATTAGTTTTCATGATAAATCTTGTGATTACACTGACTTTAAATGACCCTCTGTTTCATTTCCTAAGAAATGGCCTTTTTATTAAAACCTCTAAATATTCTCTTTTTATTTACATTTTTATTGTATTGGCTTATTTAAAGAAAAATTGTTCTGGAAGGAATATGTGGTCTGTCATAGCTAATAAATGCCCTTTCTGAAAATGCAGTGCATTGAAGTCAACCGGCCCTCCCTCTCTTCTCTCTCTCCTCGCGCTCTCTCCTCTTTCTTTCTCCCCTGTTTCTATCTGCTGTCTCTTCTCTCACTTTTATCTGCTGTGTCTCTCCTGTCTGTCTTTTCTTACCTCCAGTGCAGCAGCTTCCAAAGTCTCCTCTCCTCTCTCCTTCCCGTCTGCGGCGTCTGACACATTCAGCCGCACTATCACCGCGGGAGGACAGGACACAGGTCAGTGAGCCGATCGCGAGCTACCAGTGTTCGCTTTGCGATCTACTAGTAGATCGCAATCTAACTAATGGGCACCCCTGCTCTAACCCATAACAAGCATTAGAAGACTGGCAGGCTGCCAATTGTTTGCTCTCCTTAGAAACTAATGGACAAAATAGCTCTGTGAACTCTGTGGTAAATTTCTCCACAATACCTGTAGCTACTAATGAGAATGCGGACTGGTTTTAAAGTGCTTATACTGGCTGTTCAGAGCACTTAAGTGTGCCTAGTCTGGGCACAGGCTTACTTTAACACTTATTTAACCCTTTCACTGCCACTGACTTATGTCATCCGTGGCAGCAGTGGGCCCCCGTAAATAGTCTATCTGTGTAAAATCGACTGTCCGCTTTAGACTGGATCTATTCTGGCAGCTGTAAAGCCACCTGATCACTTCCAGGGGCAGTAAATAAATTGCCCTCCCCAGCCCGACACCCCCAACCTTGCTTCCCACTGCGTGCTCTCACTCCAGAGTGACAAAAATAATTTTAGGGCCAATATTCTTGGTTAACTCTAATCTGATGACCTGTATAGGCTTTTAAAACGTCGCCTATGGACAATTTGGGGTACCATAGTTTGTTGCCATTTTACAGACACACACAATTTTTAAACTTGCCATGTTGAGTATCTATTTACTTGTAGCTTGCCAATAGTAAACATTTCTAAAGGCGTGTTTGTTGTTATTTTGAAGATGTGGGTAAAATTCCACTTTAACAAGTAATAGCCTGGCCACACAGCAGACAAAAATCTGCCTGCTATTACCTTTTTTGTATACCACAAAAGTAATTTCTCTTTGTTTCTATGGCCCTTTCTATTGGCTTTATATATCTTTCAGATAACAGAGTATATAAATCTTTTTTTCTGTTGCAAAGACAAGGAGGCACCCTACTTAGAATTCCCTTAGCATAAAAATAATAAATACATGTAAAATCCACTGGCATCTTGCCACTTTGGACGTTTAAATAAATACGCTTGTATGCTATTCAAGAGGTCAGCCTCCGTCCAAAAGATTGATATTGGTTTGGTTGGATTAAGCCTTCAAATGATTCCTGATAATTGTAGTGTTTTCTAATGGGTTTATATTTTATTTCTGTATTCCACAGATGGGGAACACAAGGAGATTTCACAACAACTCATCCACGACCAGTTGTCAAAGTAAAGCTCTTTACAGAAAGCACTGGTGTTTTGGCACTTGAAGACAAAGAACTTGGAAGGGTAGGTTCTATTGTAATCCAAAATACAACTAATTTGCCTGTAAGATTTCAAATCCAGCCCATGATTTGCAGAAATCTCGAAAATATGTTATGGCCAGTTACACTTGAAAATAGGCTTTGTATAAGATAACCCTTTTGTCAGTTAAAAAATTCAGTTTTATAGAGATCCATATATCAGATGAAAAAGAGGGATTGAGGAATTTGGTTATAAACATGGAACAGTCCCTCCAAATCAGGGACATTTGGGGGGTTGAATTGGTTATTTAATTTATGGATTAACATGCATTTCTTTTATTAAATTGTCTATTCCATTTAATCAATAAAGGCATGACAATGTGAAATGCTGTTTGTGGACCTTTACCCCCTTTCACTAAGGGGGTTATTCACAAAGCTGTCGAAGGCAGCCAAGTGCATAACCCAGCCGAAGTGAAGTGAGCCGAATGCTGTTTGGCTATTCACTTCTGGCTTGTTCGGGTGATTTCAGCCGTACATCGTCTGCCTTCGGTTGCCTTCTGTCAGCATGTTCGGCTGACCTGAAGTGCAGAAGGAGTTTGACTCAGCCGATCCAACATCTGGATCGGCTGAGCCGGAGCTCCAGCAACTCACTTGCTGCCGTTCGCCCCTATTCTCATAGGGGCCGAACGGCAGTAAGTGAATAGCGAGGTACCAAGGAGAATAGAAAATAAGTGAAATACATTTTTTTAAAAAGGAAAGAAAAAAGTTGCAAAAATTGTTTTTAAATTTAGGAAAATTCAAAAATAAAATAGTTTAAAGAAAAGATTAAAAAAAGAAAAATAAATGTAAAAATAACGCCGGCAAAAGAAAAATAATTGGGCGGAGCTAGCAGTGATAGCTCCGCCCAACTGTTTCCTATTGGCAGGTCCCGGCCAATGAATAACAACTGGGTGAAACCGGCCAGCTCCACCTAGTTGTTATAGTTTAATGACAGATCAGCGTCCCCAGGTCATTTGGGGACGCTGTTCTGTCATTACAACTGGGTGGAGCGAGTCGTGAGATCACAGCTGGCTCCACCCAGCTGTCATTTGCGTTCTCCTCGCTTCGGCTGTCAATTCGGCTCAGTGAATAGCCCGTACAGCAGCCCTTTGTTTCGACTCAGCTGAAGGGCAGAGGCGGCTGAAGCTACGGCTGGATCCTTCAGCTCTTTAGTGAATAACCCCGTGAAAGTCGAATAGGCATGCAGCTCTGCATGCTTATATGAAATATGAAATCATCTTACATTGATTTAGTAAAATTAAAAAAAAAATATTTTACTTACAATTTACTTTTTGTTTTCACTTCCTGGTCCTCTTAGGCATTAGTCATGTATCTAGTGCCTAAGTGCTGCATCCTGGGAAGGTTACATCGTAGTGCATTGTTTGCAAATCTCATCTGTAACCTGCAAAACCTTGCAAAATCTCAGGGAAGGGCATTTTGTCCCTCTGAGATGATGTGCATGGTCACATGTCCTAGTCACATGTTCCAGAGTTCAAGGAAGTAAAGGGAGATATATTAATCTGCTCTCAGTAGAAATGGCCACTGTGAGACAAATGGGGAAGAAAAGAAAAAATAGGGTATGCAAAAAATACAAAGCCTGCAATTATCTAGAAGCATGTATTTGTAGATTGTCATTACTAAACATTTCTACAGGTGCCTTTGGCTGTCGTTTTAAAGAAAAGGGTGAAGTTCCTTTTTAACTAAGGCTGTTGTCATTATTATTGAAATTATATTTAGGTCAGATTATGTTTGAGTGGCTCACAAACATTTTATCACAACCTTTTATGTTGTTATTGTTTGACAAGGTGGTATGATACTATTAGCAAAGTGGTATGCATTACAGCCATGATTGCAGTAGAACGGAAAGCATTTTAATTTTAGTCTTCACACCTTTCGAGTTGTGAAATTCCGTTTATAAAATTTATGCTGAGCCGTGGAAGATATGTTATGTAGTACTTCATGAGAAGTGCTGACATTTTCTGCTCTGTAGGACATGTAAGAAAAAGAACAGCGGTTATCATTCCATCCCAGATATATATAAAATCTGAGATTTTGTATTTGTGCTCTAATTATATTAAGTGATAACTGCAGTAAATGAATGTCAAAGAGCTATAGTTTCTCAATAAGGTGTAGGTGGGACAGAGGTAAATGCAAATATGCACAGATCACATAACTGTAAATATATGTAAACTTTCAAGGTATGTGATATAACATCAGTATTAACATGCAGTCATAGTACATAAACTATACAAATAACAATAAAAAAAAAAACATAAAAAGTTATAAGTATCCTGTCCGTAGTCCCCATGGTGTGCAAGAGCATGATATTCAAATTCACAATGAATGTCATGCATACCTCATTTCCACATGTGCAGTAGTTCCACCAATCTCAGATCCCTGATCCGGGTAAGCTCACGAGATCACAATCACCAGTTAGCTAATAAGTAGCTCAAAAAAGCGTTTACTCAGAATCTATCAGCCATATTCTTGTCTTTCCACCATAGAAACCCAAAGCATTTCTAGCCATGAGATATAAATCTGAGGCAAACTCGATCACGTAGTGTAAAGACACTCTGTATTTCAAGTTTAAAAAATCCAGCAACAAATTTTACAAAGCTAAGTGCTTAACCCAGCACTAAGGAGAACTCGTGTTTTGTCAGCACATTAACTTTATGGGTGGGAGGCACATTGGTCACATAGGTCAATAAAAAATCATTTATGGGAAATATAATTGCTTCCAGTGAGCATGTAAAACCTGCAGTTTTCAAGTTGCTGACAATTTATATACATTATGTGTGAATGTATAAAGACTTAGTTGCCCATTATATGCACAGGCTCTGCTTGCTGCTTTGCAGTGCTGCCCATTTACATCTGTGCCATGCAATAACTCACCTTATAACATACATTAACATATTCATTCTTTGAATAGGCTGCCTAGCACACCCAAACACACATGCACCATTTTTAGCTGCACAGCACACCCTAATGCAGAGTTGCCGACTACACTATGTTCCAGATGTTTTGGGATGCCTACAAACATGGTTGACATTGCATCGCAAAGAAAATCGTGTAAATCCAGCCTAACTGTGCATTACCACTAGAAAAGCAATGAGTTGTTTGAATAACACACTTCTGTATGTGACAACTTCCCTCAGCAGCTTTGAGTGACAGAGCATCTGCATTGGGCTACTGAGAGCTCCCACTAGTGACGAATCTGCTATTTTTTTATATTTTGTATAGTGAAGAAAAATATGGAAGAACAAGCAAGTAATATTATAAAAGTTGTAGCATAAATTGCTTTAAAGAAGAACTCCGGGTAAAGAAGAAACCTACGCTTGCAGTGGGGCTACCCCTGTACTACAAGGGCTAAGTGCTCATTTTGTCTAAGGGACTCAAATAAAGCAGATATACTCACCTGATCCTCAGTCCCACGGCGGTCAGCACTTACCTCTCTCCCCCTCCACTCCAGCTATGGGATGTCTAATGCAGGTGATGATGTCAGCGGTTCTTATACTGCCAGGGGAAAAGAGGCTGTGGGTACTGTCCTAGCAGCCCAGAGGGAGGTGGTGGGACTGAAGATCAGATGAGTAGTACAGCTTTATTTGAGCCCACTAGACAAAACATGCAACGAGCCCCACTGCAAAATTATGTTTTGTGTTTGCCTGGACTTCTTTCAAAGAGAAGTAAAGCCAAACCTTTTTTTGTACTCCTGTGACCCTTAGAGTAAATGCACTCCTGTGACGCAAATCAGCTGAAAGCGGGCTAATGCCCACTTTCAGCTGACAGCATAGAGCTGTGCTGCAACTGAGAAGAATCCCAATAATGTTGTCGAGATCCACCCTGGTTGCCCAGCTGACAGTTGGGTCAGCCCCCTCCCCTGCCTGTTGCTTCAGGGAGAGGGGAGGTGGGAATCCCTGTGTGGAACTGTTACTGTCACAGGGAGAAGAGACCAAGAGCTGACCAGTGGCTTACATGATTGCTCAGCTCTTGGTAAAGTGCCAGGGTATGACAGCAGCTCTAAGCAGTGGGTAAGAGTATGTTTTACTCTCCCTGCATTACTTCATTAAGTTAAAAAGTGTGTAAATACACCATAGTTTTCCTTTAAATCACATCCTACACTTAGTCTGTTCAAATGTATTCTGAAGTCCAAGAAGTGAGCAGTGGGTCATCGGTTTATGTATACCTCAAGTGCCCAGTGGAAGTCAACGCAGAGGGGACTGGCAGAGTCTGCAAACCCCATCTAAAACAAATGCATTTATACAGATTTGAATTCAAATTATTACAAGATTATAGCATTATACAAACTCTTGAATTATATGCAACATAATGACTGTGGGCATCCTAGGTAAAAGTTAAGCAGCAGATCTAAGGCCTTGTGGCCATACCCTACAATCGTGACCTTTGGAGACTAAGGGCTTATTTACAATTCAATGCAGAGACCCATAATGATTCACACTAAACATTAACCCAAATATATGTTATCAGCATTGTCAGGTAAGTGATTGCTGACTGGCATAGGTTTATGCAATATGCCAGTTGCTTATTTCCTTACCAATTCTCCCAATTGATGCAAACCTTTCACAAATCTAGGCACTTTTAACTGAATGATGCTAATGTATATTCAGAGCTTTCCTTTAGTAAAACTGAATTTAAAATGATTAGTTGATCCAGGATATGAATGCTTAAATAAGAACTCTGGGCAAATAAAATCTTATCTATTATAGTGGGGCCACCCCTGCGCTGCAAGCTTTAAGTGCTCCTTTTGTCTTGAAAACATAAATAACCACATTGCACTTATACAAACCATGATCCCAGCTGACTCCAAGACCGGTCCCTTCAGCCTGTTTTCTCCTTTGCTCCAGCGATGGAAAGTCCCTTGGCGTCCTCACATCCAATACATTGTATATGACACGGTGACTCACTGGACCTTAGACCGCTGGAGTTGGGGCGGGATCATGGTTCAGATGAGTAAATCTCTGTTATTTTGGCTCCCTACACAAAATGAGCATGCAATCCTTGTAGTGCAGAGGTAGCCCCACTGCAAGGGATATGATTTTATTTGCCTTTTATTTGTTCTTCTTTAATTTACATGTAAATGTATTCTTTTCCTAAAAAAGTAAAACTTGTTCCCGCACCTCCACTTCTGAAGGCTCCTTAATGGTCACTGAGGCCACCCATTACATCACCACTTTGGTTGACTACATTTCTGTTCTATTGATCTTTTCTGGCACGTATTTTCACAGAAGGTGATCTCTAATTATTCATGTGTTCATCATATGTTTGAGTCAAGTTTGTATTTTTATCTAATTCAAGCATGTTTATTTTACGAAATAAAGCAGTAGAATGCCACTATTTGCTATTGTAGTCTTAATAGATGTTCCAGCATATTGAACAGAAGTAATCCATTTCTTTTCTTTTGTCAGGTAATACTTACACCAACTCCTAATAGCTCGAAGTTGCCAGAGCTTCACAAGATGTCTGTTCCCAAAAACAGTCAAGATACTGATCTCAAGATAAAACTTGCTGTAAGGATGGACAAACCACCTCACATGAAGCATAGTGGGTAAGCTTGGTCATTTTATGGGGCTTTAAAGTGAAATAATTATGAAGGAAATGTCAGATATAAACACATGATCTAATGTTCTATGTATAAAAAAAATTTTCATTACTAAAAAAGGTTGTAAATGACCAATGTCTTAAATGGCAAACAAAAAAACAAGCAAAAACTACAAATAACTTTGAAATCTGAAATGAAGACATTAAAAAAAACCTGTATATGTTTGCGATCATCAGCGTCATACCTCTGAGATGGCTTTTTATGCTGGGTGTTAGTTGAAGGTCCAACAATAATGGACAACATGTCCAACAAACATGAACATATCATGTAATTACCATATATTGTTTTATAGATCGCATAATTAAGAATTAACAAAAAAAGTAGTAGGTGCTTGTCTTCATTTCTCTGCTGTAATTTGTGTATAATTGATATTTAATGCCAAACTAATGTTCTGCATCTATGTCCACTGATTCTGTGTACTAAATGTATAGAAAATTACTATTTGTATTTTACTAAAATATGCATAGTTATTTGTCGATTAGAACAGTCAGAAGTGTGGCCACCTATATGGCCTACTAGGGCAGTCACACTAGTGACTAGTTTACTACCATTTGCAGCTCGGTATACACTGTATGATCACATAGGCAGAGTTCACACTGTTACTTTGCAGCACATATAGTAAAACACAAGTATGTGTGACTGGGCCATTCCCTTTTGTACTAAACTGCAGGGCATAGATGTGTCCCAGTCATATAGGAAAAAATGGGATTTCTACTCAGTTTTCATGCAGCAAAATGCATGTGCTTTGCTGAATGAACAAAGGCTAGTATAAATAGGTATTTATTGTATGAACAAATTCTCTGACAAGGTCCATAATCTTAAAGCGTATCTCAACCTAAACATATATATTGTAGCTTACCAGTTCTTAGATGATGTGCCTTCATTAGTTTATTTTCACCTGGCAAGCCTAACACACTTCCTGTCCCTGAGTGGCTGCACTTATCCACTGTATCTATGGAAGTAATCTGATGTCACATCACAGCACTTCCTCCTAGTACAGAGGCTTAGTTGCAGCTGAATCAGCCATCGGCTAGCTGGCCGATTGCATGTATATATTGTAAGGGGGGGCAGGCTCAACTGGCAGTGGTAATCCATGTGTAGCACACCCCCTAAGGAGCGCCATGCAGTAATAAAGCAACACATCTCCGTGTGTTTCCTCTGTGATGAACCTCAGTAACCTCAGTAATGAATACACGGCACAACAGCACACCTTGAGATTGAGATTGGTAATACCTTGATCCCAGGGTCAGTTGCTTTTGATTACTGCAACTCAGTAATCTTCTTTTCTAGAGATGTTTTCATTCACTTTGCCCATTAGCACTTACCGCCAGAACATTTCTGGGCACGAAATCCACAGGTCCATGGGATTCGTTGTAGTCCCTCCATACAATCTTCAAATTGGCGTTGATAATACAAGAAGGTCTGGTAATACACCTTCACCTTACCATTGCGCTTATCAATTTCTCTAATGATTCCTTCAGGTACATAAGGGTATAACAGAAGGTATTCTTGAGCCACACGTTTCAATACCACTCTTTGTAAACATACTAGCTTGGTTAAGTTTTTAGGATTCCCATAGCCAGGTGTAAGACAGGAATCCGGAGACTTCTTAACAGAAATTCCAGCAACATGAATAACATCACAGCCTCTGACTTTTTGGGAGATATCTCTGCTTCTTTTACATTGGCAGAGGATATAGGTGATGTCACAGGTGGAGCAGTGACAGAACGCTCAGGACAAGTAACAACATTAGCATCATAGTCTGGAGGGTCTGGTATGAATAGGTTGTAATAGATAAACACTTTTCGGTATTCTGTGACAGCTGTCAGCTTCGTTGTTTACATTCGGGATACAGTCCAAATGTAGAAATGAAGCTGAGAACCGTTAAAGAATAACACACAGATCTCAGCTTCTTTATGTTCTATAATACAATTCTGATACTTTAACTTTCAGGATATGTCATGAATGTCCGCTAAGTGCAGAGAAGCCGGATAGCTGTAAATGACACATACATAGCGCTTCTCTGTTTTGTTCCAAATTAAATTTGTATGTATCCGAATTTTGTTATCAAACATTCGGATTCATTCAGATTTGTTATTTCTCTCATTCGGAAATTCAGATGCATCTGAATGTCCGACTTTGCAGAAATTCGTACAAATGTCAATTCGGAACGAAACGAATCGCACATGTCTAGTCTATATCATATATTAGATTTATGCAGAAAAACATTAAAGAACGGTTAATTATGTTTACGATTTTCTGCTTACATTGTAATTCAGATGTTAGTCCTGTTTTGACATTTCTCTAGGTATGATCCATGTATGGATGCACGGCCAGAGGCAGCTTTATTTACCTATACTTAAACGTGGAGAAGGACATCTGTATTAAAGTAATAGCAGACTTTTATCTGGATCCATTTTCAGATTTTGCAACTGCTCCTTTTGCCCTACTGGCTTCCTACCTTCATTCTTTCTGCAAGGGGGGAGGACGTATTCAGAGTGACTAACACTCTGCCTCTACACCAGGGGGACCCTCTGGCTTCCCAGCTGTGGTGAAACTACAAATGCCATGAGGCATTGCAAGATTCTCACAGCCACAGGCATGACTCCCAGAGACAGATGCATCATGGGATTTGTAGTTTCACCACAGCTAGGGGGCCAGAGGTTCCCCACCCCTGCTCTAGACCATTTAACAAGCTTCCACAGTACCAGAGTAGCTAGAAAAGGACTGCAAAAGGTTATGAAAAGAAGGGATTATGGGTATTAAAAGCAGGCAGACAGCATAGGTTCACAGCTTCCCAGCTATGCTGCATGTAGCAGCATGGCTAACCTCTATGCATTTTTTTAAAATAGATTTTTCAGAGGTGAGACTATCCACCACTGCAGGAGCAATAACGAGACCCATTGTTTAGATCACTGTTTTACAGTAAAGTACCTGCAAATATACCCACCTTACATTGGTATTATTGGTTCTGTAAAAATTAATTACGCTGCGCTAAACTGTAGGTCACATGTAGTTTGGGTTTTTTTTGTATGTCAATTTCCGCTTCCCAACACTTTACAGTATAGAATTAACACTAAAGCACTATTTGTAAAACCATGTGTTCAAAATATGATAAAAAAAATAAATTTATTGTATGCAGATAGATGAATTGATTCTTGCATACAATATACCACTGCCCAAAATATGACGTCTCTCTGCTTTGTCTGCACACCTACGCTCTATGAAATGCATGCATGATAAGATATATCCATTTGTACCCAGAAAATCCAGTTAACACATCTGACTGACCTGACCCCATACTGAATAAAATAGTTTCTTTTTGCATAGTTATGCCTTTGGTGGTTTTCTACTGTTGATTGTTGATGCTCATATAACTATTCCTATTTCCACTAAACTATGCAATCTATTTTCATCTTACCACCCAGTAAAAAAAATTCACAAGTTCTATTGTCAAATGATCTTTTACACAACATTATCCTTCATAATTAAATAACTGTTATATACCTGCTAGTGTTGAATGTTCAGTTTATGTGATACTGCTCTTAAAGTACCTAATGCACAATCGTAGAGATGTTTCCACTATAATTACTTTGTTTTTAAATTAAGGAAATCTTTTCAATGCCACGTGCTAATCTCTGTTGAATTGACATGACATTTTATTGTGTCTCACATCTTGTTCTATAGTTAATAATATAGATGAACTGCAATCGCTGGTTTCTTATAGCTGAGCTTGTAGTATAACCTAGTGGCTGCTAGAAGTATCACAGCATCTGTAAATCTTTTGGGTTTAATACATTCTTGCTATTGCACTATCGCTCGCATTTATCTTTTTGAGTATTACGACAAGTACAGTATATCAGTGCTTGTTATCGCTATAGATCTTTTTAGGTTGCTTAAGAAAGACATGCATCCAACAGGTTCAACCTCAAAAGAAAAACATGTCACATTTTAAAAATACTAATTTATTTAGGGAATTTTTGTTGCTCATACTGTGCCTGAATTTCCCATAGCTTTGTAAATATGCCCTTATTTAATTTACAAAGCTAAATTGTCAGACACATTTCTATGTTTATTTCTAAATATTATGTGAAATTCTCTTCAGGTAGATGTGACCTTTCACTGACAATGAGTACTTTCAACACACCTGGCTGCCACACAACGCTTTGAAACAATGTCGTTTGAGTGCTGGTGATCTTCCAATCTCAG